TATAATAAATATAACAGTTATAATAAATGTAACAACAGTTATAACAATACAACAACAGTTATAACAAATATAACAACAGTTATAACAAATAACAATTATAATAAATATAACAGTTATAACAAATATAACAGTTGTAATAAATATAACAACAGTTATAACAAATATAACAGTTGTAATAAATATAACAGTTATAATAAATATAACAACAGTTATAATAAATATAACAACAGTTATAATAAATATAACAACAGTTATAATAAATATAACAGTTATAATAAATATAACAGTTATAATAAATATAACAGTTATAACAATATAACAACAGTTATAACAAATATAACAACAGTTATAACAAATAACAATTATAATAAATACAACAGTTATAACAAATGTAACAGTTGTAATAAATATAACAACAGTTATAACAAATATAACAGTTGTAATAAATATAACAGTTATAATAAATATAACAACAGTTATAATAAATGTAACAACAGTTATAATAAATGTAACAACAGTTATAACAAATATAGCAGTTGTAATAAATATAACAACAGTTATAATAAATATAACAACAGTTATAATAAATATAACAACAGTTATAATAAATGTAACAACAGTTATAATAAATGTAACAACAGTTATAATAAACGTAACAGTTATAATAAATGTAACAACAGTTATAATAAATATAACAACAGTTATAATAAATGTCAGAGAGCAGAGTGTTTTTGTGCTGCTCACTGTTTTTCAGCTTGTAGGAGCAAAACTAATAAAATCCAGGCTCCAAAGAGACGTTGGTGTGTTCACCAGTTTGGACTAACTGTCATGCAGATGCTGCATGCACGAGTGTTGCCAGATAAATGTAAAATGTTTTATTTACCCCTCCTTTCTGTGCGCATGCTCAACAAACACAACACACACCTCATCTTAGAATATCTTTACTCAGCATATGTGACAGTTTAGGTCAAAATAGTATAGTTTTAAAGCCACAGTACTATAGTTCATACTGTCTTATCTGGCAACCCGACTGACATTCAAACTACAGCGTTTTCGTATAAACCCGCTCTCTTTTTTTATTACCCCCAATAAACATAGAAAAAACACTAAAGTTTCCAGAGGTTGTTCTGTGTAAACAGGAGGTAGATCACTTTGACTTGGTCATTTTAAAAGGAGATGAAAACATCTGGACACCCTTGTTTTAGAATATTGTTGCCATTAATTGGAAATTACAAGACTGTTGTTCAGCTTTTAAATAAATGTCAAGAGCCCCCTTTAGTCAGATAAGTCTCCTGATTTAGAAAGTTTAAAGTTTGATTAGATGATTTGTGCGTACTGTCATGCTGTCAGAAACTGTGTCTGTCAGATCATCTGAACCCAGAGATTGGGCTGATAATCTCTGGGTTTAAGTTTTTTCTTGGTTTTTTTTTTTTTATTATTGGCTGTTTTGTTACAGATGTCTCCTGAATTGTCCCTTCACTTTGTCTGTGTGTGGCTACGTGTTTTTATTTGTGCACGCAGGGAACAACAACAACCAGTTCAGCATAGACAGACTGACGGGGCTCATAGCGAGAGGCGTCCGGGCCCTGGACAGAGAAACCAGCAGCTCCCACGTGCTGGAGGTGGAGGGCTACAACAGTGATGAGAGCAGCATGCGCAGCTCCGTCAGGGTGAGGACATGGACCGAGGCCAACAAGTGTTTTAATCTCACACACACTCGTTCTGAAAAGGCTGGGACCTTGTGTAAAATAAAATAAATAAAATAAAAAGCCCAGAATGCAGTTGTTTGCAAGTCTTATAAACACAGTAAACATAACAAATGTAAAACAGTTGTATCATTTGTAAGATTTTAAAAAAGCTGATTCCTAATTTGATGGGAACAGTTTTGGTCCAGAGCCAACAAAAGCCCGTAAAAGAAAGTGGCACAAACAAGAAAGAGCTGGAGGATCATTTTACATTTAATTATGTTAATTTTCAACATATGAACAAGAGGACTGGGTGTGAAAAGACATTTTAGAGGCTGAATGTCTCAGAAGTAAAGATGGGCGGAGGTTCACCAGCCTGCAAGAAATTAAAATGGAGTAGAACTTGTGAAGACTTTAATCTCCATCATCTCCAATTCATAATCTGATCAACAGATTAGAAGAATCTGTAGAAATCTATAAACTCCAAGGACGAGGCTGAAGATCAATATTGGACAGTCGTGATCTTTGGGCCCTCAGAGGACCCTGCATTAAAACCAGGTCTGGTTCTGTTCTGGGCTCAGGAACTCTTCCACAGATTATCTGTAAACACAGCTCATCCACAGATGCTGCTTAAAGCTCTATCAGACAAAGAAGCCGCCAGATGTGAACACCATCCAGAACCGCTGCTGTCTTCTTTGGACCAGAGCTCGTTTCAAGTGGACTGAGGTGAAGTTCAGAACTGTTCTGAGGTCAGTCAGGTCCAAATCCAAAGTTCTGTTTGGAAACCATGGACACCACGTCCTCCATACAAAAGAGGAGAGGAAGCATCCAGCCTGGTATCAGCACACAGTTAACCTTGCGTCTCTGATGGTATAGGGGTACATTAGTGCCTCAGGAATGGAGAGTTTACATCTGGAAAGGAATAGTAAATATAGCAAATTATATATATTAGAACCACACCTGCTCCATCCAGAACTGTTGAACAGCTAGAGTCCTCCATCAGACCAGGATGGATGGAAATTATTTTAATAGCTCCCAACAACCGGCCTCCTCAGTTCCTGGACGTTTGCAGACTGTTGTTAAAAGAAGAGGGGATGCTTCACAGTGTGGGGACTCTGGGGTTTCCCCACCACCTCACAGTTTTCTTGCGGTTCCTGAGTGGCAGGGCAGAGCTTGTTAACCACAGCCATCTCCAGTCAGCTGATGAGAGCTACCAGTACTGTTTGGACCAGTAAGACTGCTGGAACGTTGTCCATTCCTGGTACTATGTCCAGCCAAAGTGAATCTCCATGTACATACTTTACTGACTTGATGACCTTGGTCACCTCCTTCACCCTGGACCCTGGTCTCCCCTCCCTGCCTGTTAACGAAGTAAGACTCGAATCATAACTCCGGACTACAAACGATATCATCAACTCCATCACCATGTCTTCTCTCCTGCACCTCATGTTCCTGGAAACTCACAACTGTAAAAAAAAATAAAATAAATAAACATCAAGTACCTTTTACATCAACTGTTGTTGGTCTTCTGGTTCTCTAATGGTACCCTGGGTTGTTCTGATACTAAAACGTGATACAGACGATTACATGAACCTGAAACAACTTTTTTGATCAAACTCATTTACCTCATTTTTATTTTCCAATAAATGTACAATCTCTTAGTTTCAACATTTGATATGTTTACTATGTCCCGTTGTGAATAGAATATAGTTTTGTAAGATTAGCCAATTATTAGTTTTGTTTTATTTTTTTACCACAATGGAACAAAATTTTTTAAATTGGGGTTATACAAGCTGGTGTGAAAATCTGGATCAAGATTCGGTTCCTGTAAACAGACTCTTGAGTTGGACCATGTGTTGACATGTTACCATCTTCTCCGTCAGGTGATCATTTATGTCAACGATGCCAACGATGAGGTGCCAGTTTTTACACAGCAACAGTACAACCGTTTGGGCCTCAAAGAGACGGCTGGTATCGGCACGTCTGTGATTGTGGTGCGTGCCACCGACCCGGACACTGGTGAGTCCCAAGTCTGATCTGTTGGAGGCATCGAGCGAAGGGTCTTGTTTCAGTTCTCGTTCCAGGTTTTATCCCAACAATAAATATGTCTGACACGGTGTCCAGGTTAGACATATTTATTTTGCCATTTATAATTTTCATCAGCTTCAAGATGATCACCTTTACCACTACCTGGTTCTGTTTTATAAGTTTGTTTTGCCTCCTGTTTATTTATCTTGTGTCTCTTAGGTGTGTTGTAAACATTACAATCACTGTAGCTGACATTTAAGTTGTACTTCTTTCACGGTTTGAACTTCCTCTAGTCACTTCCCATGGTTTAAGTTGTTGTTTAGACTCTATGTGGAAGATCTGGTGCAGTAACGATCAGAGCGGGCCTGGAACTACAATAAACAGCTTAACCAATAAAAGTGTTGAAAGCTGTGTTTAAAAAGAAAGAAAAAACATGGTCACAGAACTTTTACCTGTAGTTTGTATAAATTTTCAAATAAAGCCCCGATCATCATTCTAAACTTCGATTAAAGTTGGACAGAATACTTTTTCTCTTACGACTTCCCGTCTAGGTGATGGTGGAGCTGTTGCCTACGCCATCGTGTCGGGCTCGGACCGTAAGTTCGAAGTGGATGCGAGCACCGGTCTGATCACCACTGTGGACTACTTGGACTACGAGACAAAGACCAGCTACCTCATGAACATCTCGGCGACTGATCAGGCGCCACCGTTCCACCAAGTCTTCTGCACCGTCTACGTCACGCTGCTGAACGAACTGGATGAGGCTGTGGCCTTCTTGTCCACCAGCTATGAGACTTCCATTAAAGAAAACATTGCCACGGGGACCGAGGTGGTTCAAGTGCAGGCCAAGTCAGCTGATAACCTGAACCAGATGACCTATCGCTTTGACCCCGACACGTCGCCCGCTGCTCTGGCTCTCTTCAAGATTGATAGTGTTACGGTGAGTAAGGAAGCAGCAGCATAAATGTCGACGATCGTATGAACACAATGTGCATACCTCTGTAGTGTTTGTTTTAGGGGGTAAAGATTCAATACACACCTTGAATAGTGGCACGTATTAGTATGGGTTCAATACAATTCATCTTCATCTTCTACCGTTTATCCGAAGTCAAGTAATGGAGGCCACAGGTCCAGGAGAGAAACCCACACATTCCTCTCTCCAGCAACACTTTCTATCTGGTCCTAGGAAACCCCAAGGTGTTCCCAGGCCAGAGATTCCCTCCAGTAATTCCTGGGTTTTCCCTGGGACCTCCTACCAGTGGGGCGTGCCCAGAAAACCCCTAAAGGGAGGCGTCCATGAGACGTCCTAATCAGATGCCTAAACCCCAGTAGCTGACTCCTTTTGATGTGGAGGAGCAGCAGTTCCACTTCAAGCTCCCCCCAGATGACGGAGCTCCTCACCCTATTTCTAAGGCTGAGCCTGGCCACCCTGTGAAGGAAGCACTCCCCTTTTCCAATAATGCAGATACAGCTCCTGCTTTGGTTCTACAAGAATCGGTTACCCCTTAAAAGCAACTCGAGCACCCCATTCACCTTCAACAATTTCCTGTGGGATCAATAAAGTTCTATCTTATACTCCTGCAGCACCCCACTCGGAATACCTCAAGGAACACAGTCATAACCCTACTCAAGATCCACAAAATACATGTAGACTGGAGAGGCAAACTCCAATAATCCCCTTAGCAACTCTGCAAGGGTAAAGATCTGGTCAAGATCTGGTCCACTGTTCCATGACTAGGGTAGAAGCCACACTGTTCCTCCTGAATCTCAGGTTCAACAATTGTTGGAAAGGAGCCTCCCTTCCAACCCCCTGGAGTAAACTTTCCCGGGGAGGGCAAGAAGTGTGATCCCACAAAAGTTGGAACACACTCTCTGGTTCCCCTCGTTAAAAATGGGAACCATCACCCAGGTCTGCCACTCCACAGGTCCCAGTCCTCCATGTGACATTAAAGAGATGTCATGACAGCCCACAACATCCAGAGCCTTCATCATCTCGAGGTCAATCTTGTTCACCCCTGGCGCCCTGCCACCGAGGAGCATTTTGACTACCACAATGTCATTAAAGTCATTAGCTAATTTAATTAGCTCTATTATTAATTGTTCGATTTCGGGTCGGGCTCGGAAAAAATGATACAGGTTCAGTCCGGGTCAAATATTTTTTAGGCCTGAATGTAACTCTACTCCCTGGGTGTCGCCCTCGGGAGGTGCTTCAGGCATATCCAACTGGGAGGAGACCCCAGGAAAGACCCAGGACAGGCTGGAAGGACTATATCTCTTGGTTGACCTGGGAACACCTTGGAGTCCTCACAGAGGAGCTGGAAGAGATGGCGGTGGAAAGAGATGTCTGGACCTCCCTGCTCAAGATGCTGCCCCCGAGACCTGACTTTAGAACAAGTGGAGGATGGATGGATAGATGGATAAATGTTGCATACGAGCAAAAGTAGCAAAATACTATCCGGAAGCTAAAAGAACAATAGGCTAAAGTAGCTAAATGTTACCATAAATCTAAAGGTAGCAATTAGCTAAAATTTGAAAGCATGAGCTATACACTTTAAACATCAAAATGCTGATTAAAAGTTGCCAAATTTGCTAAAATCTCAATGATGCAGACCAGCTAAAAGTAGTAAAGTGCAAGCTAGCCAAAAGCTAAAAGTATCAAAACATTAGCTGAAAGCAGCAAAACACTGGTTAGAAATAGTAGAATGCTAACTATAGAGTAAAATTTTAGCTTAATGCTAATAGTAGTAAATTGCTACATTAAAGTAGCTAAATGGTGTTTAAACTTAAAAATATACTAGCTTGAAACTAAAAGTAGCAAAATGTTACCTCAAAATGCTAGCTAAAAGTTACAAAAACAGGCTAAAAGATGAAAATAGCAAAAGGCTTTCTCGGAGTGTATAGATAAAATCTTCCTTAGCTTCTCTTGGCAACATTCGGTTAAATAAAATGTGTGTCCCCTTCTAGAGTCAGATTCAAAAAACGAGCAGTGATCACCTATAACTTTTGTATTCACCATGTAAAGTACCTGCCATGTAGTACCCATCTAAAACATTTATACCAAACTTCATGGTACAAATACATGTACCATTACTCTCCGTCTTTCTTCCAGTGACTATCTTCTGTCTAATGCGACTCGTCCATTTCTTGCTCTTCGGTTCAGCAGCCTCTCCCTTTTTCTTTGATTTAAGGCAACAATCTTGTTGCTTTACAGCTATATTCTGATCAAAGGGCTTGTGTTCTTTGAAGTCGTTTGATTCCTTTGATAAATGAGAGATGAGTTTGTTTGATACTTGTGAAGCTTTCCGTTTGTCACACTGTGAATCTCGGATGAAACCAAGGTAAACATGGTGTTTTTCAGGGCCGCATCACAGTCACAGGCCTGCTGGACAGAGAAAAGGGGGCTCTGTACACCCTGACAGTCGTCGCTGATGATGGAGGACCTAAAAAGGACTCTACAGTGGTATGAAAACTCTTTTTAGGTTTTGTTATTTTAACCCTGAGGTCTCTCGCACTGGATAACAACCCTGTTACGCTCTTCACAACCTATTAGAATGTGACTGAATCATGGCAAATTTGGAAAACCCCCTTTAGTGTGAAGGCAATCATAACCCTTGTGCACTGTTAGTGCTCACGAAAGAAGTTTTCTTTATAGTTTTTAACATCCACAAAATGCTACTACCACAAATTATGAGCTCAGTTGTTTCCACACATTGTCACAATCATCGTTGTAGCCAAGGCATGAGGCCAGTGGAGTCGGTGCTGCTGTGAATCCTTGATGACCAAGCCACACCAGTGTTTTAGCCCCAAATTATGGATATGCTGCCACCTCGCTTGGAAAAAAGGATCCTAATAAGAAGAAGTTATGATTTCAAACCACCAGAACCTTGCTAAAAACATTGTGCATGCTCAAAACCAGTGTTGACCAATTGCGCTGTATTGCATATATGGGAAGTGCACTGTGTTCTTAATATACCCCTAAAGACCTCGCCTAGATTTTTCTTTTGGATCGTACTGAGGTTGTCATCCACTTTGAAAAGGGCCTAATTGGTTTTGTATATTATTTCATATGTTATATTTTATTTTGTTGTAGAAATTTAAAGGCGTTCCTCTTTTAATTGCATCTTTCTTTGGATCTGCAGAAGGTAAGAACATGAGCCCAACAAAATACATTTATCTGCAGTTTACTACTGTTATTGGTTGTTTTGCATATTTTAAAAGGTACGTTTCAGCCTGTTGTTAGCTAGATGATTTTTGCCACCTCGCAGGTATCGGTCACCATCCTGGATGAAAACGACAACAGTCCAGAGTTTGACATTACCTCTGAAACGTCGGTGAGCGTTCCAGAAAACACAGCCATGGGGACGAGGGTGGCAGTGATGCTGGCCAGAGACCAAGACGCTGGATTAAATGGACTGGTGAGGAGAAATGGAGATGGGAGACGCAGTTAAACCTACTCAGCAGATGAGCCAAGATCTTGTTTCAAGCTTCAACGTTCATTTTCATTATACGCCGGTCATTGTACCATGGTATGGTCTCTGTCCGTTTGTCCTTTGACTCTCTTTTGTCCCGTCCATAACTTCTGATACGCTCAAGATAATTTAACAAAACTTCATACGCATATGCTTCATCACTAGACGGAGCGTCTTGTACACTTTTTATTACCCCAGCTCTAAAATGAAGGTCACTTATGAAGGTCAAAGTTTATACATTGTCTTTGCTGTATAACCTTGGCTTGTCTGGGTCATTGCTATAGATTGATGTGTAATAGTTTGTTGTTTTCTTGTTAGTTTTTGGAGTAAAGTTTTGATCAGCGTTCCAGACTGAATCATTTTTTTATTGTATGAAGTACTCAGTCTGTCAGTGTCTGCTCTCATTCTTTTTTTTTCTTCTTTTTTTTTTACGTGTTATCTGTGGTTTCTCTTCAGGTGAATTTCACTCTGGTGGCTGGAAACATGCAGGATGTTTTCAAGATCAACACGGTGAACTACAGTTACGGGGAGGTTTTCGTCAACGCTCCTCTGGACAGAGAGTCTGTAGACCGCTATCTGCTGAAGGTCTGGTGCACACATCACACATCTGTACTTGTGACACCTCGAACAAGATGTTTTTCTGGCTTCATAACACTTTTACATTCTACACCTAGACCACAGCTCATTCAGCACAAACCCAATTTAATTATTTTTTTTTTGGGGGGGGTTCAGCTGTTTTTGCATCAATTCATTCAGGAGATGGGTGCCGTGAACTTCGGTTTTTATAACATTTATACTTTTTAAAATATTTACAAATATCTTCCACATAGAAATACATTATCTCCAGCTAATTGAGAAAGTTGGGTCTCTTGAAATGTGCTTCAGCTACTGGCTCTGCTTTTGTCTTATTATTAATCTTTTAGCTACCAAATTTGTTGCTTTTACCTTTTAGCTACTGTTCTGCTACTTCCAACTAGCCTGTTGCTACTTTTAGCTTTTAGGTAGCCATTTTCTGGTTTTAGCCAGCACATTGTTACTTCAGGCTTCTTTTGAAAATTTTAGCTAACCTTTTTATTCTTTTAGCTCGCCTCTTTTACTTTTAGCTTCAGGCAGCCTTTTCCTATGGTTAGCTTTTAGTTTGCCTTCTGCTACATTTAGCTAGTATTCTACAACTTTTAGCTAGCATTCTTCCTGCTTCTAACTTTTAGTTAGCCTTTAGTTCCTTTTAGCATTTGGCTAGTCTTTTGCTAGACTTCATATCGCCTTTTTGATAGTATTTTGGTACTTTTAGCTCTTGGCTAGTGTTCTGCCTAGCTTTAGCTATTAGCTTTAGTTCAGCAGTCATTCAGCTCTTGTCATCACACCATCCCTTTAGGTTAATCAGTCATTTTTTATGAACTGTAATCACGTATATAAAATATTTAGAAGAACACTTAGAAGAAGAATTAAATATTTGTTGAAGAATTTCAGTTTAGCGTCAGCTTTGCTAACCAAGCATCAAAGAAGCGTGCCAATTTTATGTTTTTATTATTTTTGGCCGCTGTGCTCTTTGGCGCTTTCCTTTGATATGAACGTCTTGTTGCAGGTGCGTGCCACCGACAACGGCTCGCCTCCCCGATACACAGATCACGCTCTCACCGTCAACATCCTGGACGTTAACGATAATCCACCTGTTATTGAAAGCCCCAGAGGCTACAACGCCAGCGTCAATGAGGTGAGAATGTGTCCACACTAATTATTTTATTAAGCAAGCCTTTAGGTTTGCAACAACAATCCCCACGTGGGCAGTTTTCAGTTGAATATTGATATTTAACCACCCCGGAATGACTTTCTTTTATTCTCCCATTGACAGCTGATGATTTTGAATGAATTTTGCAGAACGTCGGAGGCGGCACGTCGGTTCTTCGTGTGGTGGCCACTGACAAAGACATCGGTTCCAACGCCATGCTGTTCTACTACATCACTGCTGGAAACCAGGACCTGACCTTCCGCATGGACCGCATGACCGGAGAGATAGTGACTCGACCGTCGCCACCTGACCGGGAGCGCCAGCAAGAGTATCGGCTGATTGTGGTCGTGGAAGACGACGGCACGCCGCCTCTGTCGGTAAGAATCAACCGGTCTGCAACCCTTCTGCGAGAAAACGTCTTTATTTTAGGGTTAAAATGATCAAGTTGAAGCAGAGTTATACAAGTTATATTATTAGGCTTTCTGTTTTTTTTTTGTTTGTTTTCTTAGCTTACTTTATTTTCAAGCAAAATTCCACTCATTTTTGTTTTCATGCTTATTTTAGAAGTTTAGACATTTTTTGTTTTGTCCAGTTTTAGGCCAATTTTGAAATGACAAAATGTTTCAGTTAGGTTTTGGGTAATACCGTTGTACTAAAACGGCTCATTTAAGGGTTTTAATCATCTTTTAACTGCTGATTCTTAAAACTCAGCAGTTTTGTGACTTTTAGACACTGCAGATCTTAGCGTCCCCGTCCCTTGGCGTGATCTGTGGAATATTACAGAAACTGGTGGTTATTTGACACAGGTGCTTTTTATTTCAGGCTAGCTGCAGCTCCTCTAACGGGTGGAGTACCTCAAGGCTCTGTTCTGGGCCCTGTCTTGCCTTTTGTTTTAATTATGGTGAAATAAATTAGAATTTATCCATTAATTAATTTCATTTAGACAGTCCACTGAAGGTTGCAGGCTTTATTTGTAAGCAAATTTTACATGTTGGCATAATGGTTTGCAGATATTCTGATTTAATTTGCATCTGATAATAATTAAATTTATCATTTAATTACTCGATTATATCATTAAAGATATAGTTAAATAAATAAATGCACAATTAATTAGTTAAGTCACATTGAAATAATCAAATGTATTTAAAATAAATTATTTAAAATTACATTTCTTTATTCAGTGTCATTATTTAAAAGGTACATTTATTTATTTATTGGGACATTTGATTAATTAATTGTGTATTTAATGATTTAATGATGTCTTGAATAATTAAAAGATAAATTTAATTATGTATTATTAAATAAGATAATAGTTCCATCTTCTTATTTAATTTTGTCACATTCCACCCTCCATCCCAAACTTTGAAATTAAATCATTCATTCAGAAATTAATTCTAAATACCATTTCTCAGTCCTTATATTTATTCTTTGAGCCCTTCTGTGTTGTTCCATCGTTTAACCCTGCAGTAACGCAGGTCGCATTGCTGTTACTGATGTTTAAGTGATTTTTATTCTTAACTTTATTATATCACATTATGTAAATTCAGTCTAAGAACATGGACACTTGTTCCATCACTTATTAAACCACAGCTTGGTACAGATGTAAAACAGACGTTTTAAAAACTTCTGGAGGTCACACAAAAACTCAGTGCGTCTTGCAGACGTGTGTAAAACCGACTGGCTGCGAGGGCGCAGGAAGCACCTCGTGTGTCAACAGGAAATCCACAAGTGAATCACAGACCAGGGCTCCTTCTCCTTGGAAAATGTGTAAAAACTTTGTAAACGTGTGGATAAATGGAGGTATTCTTTGTCAAAACGGTCTTCGGTCTCAGAAACGTGTAATATCGTCGATGCAAGTGTGCAGAAGCAGCTACCGGTCTCGTTTCTCTCCCGGGCTCCGGTGATGAAGAATGTTGTCTTTTCTCTCGTCGGTGCCAGGATCTGTCGGGGGTGCGCCCTCTGAAGGATGCACAGCGTTGTCCTGCGCGTGACGGCTCCCTGGACAGCAGCTCGTCCTCGTGTTAGTTTTAGGCGCATTCGGTCAAAATATAATATTAGTTGTAAAAGTTTGATGATTTCAGAGGCGAGACAGAAAACTTTGAGGTTTGAGAGTTTTATTATACAAGCTAGATTAACATCCAGAACACACATGCTTCAGATATATTTTTAACCTTTTTTTTTTACAATATGAAACATTAAAAACAACAAAGAGTGCGCTCCAGTGAGCATGCACAAATATAAACACGTTTCAGCTCAAGCACAAATTATTTCATAAAGCTGTAAATTGATTAGAAATCAAACATACATTCAGAGCCATCAGGAGACACACTCACATAAACATATAAATCTCTTATTTAAAAACAAACCATGCATGAAGGGGACACCCCGTCCTCTGCACCTGCTGCGCATCATTCACGACATGATTTCCACCGAGCGCCCACAGCGAAACCAGCAGAGCACAGTCACATCTGGACTGTTAAATCGGCACCGCAGCTTCTTACCGGGACATCTGGAGCGTTCTGAGATCTTTGGGTGATGATTCAAAACGGTTTCTCTACACCAGTGCTGTTCAACTGGCGGCCCATGGGCCAAATCAGGCCCACAGGTGAGCTCAGCTGGTCCACCAGTGGGTTCATTTTTAAAGAAAACTAGATTTTAAACCATAAAACTTTGAACTTACTGAGAATAACTGCTGGATGTTCAGTCCCTGAGCTTTTGGCTTTCAGTAACTGTGACCCCCCTGATCGATACTTTCAATCGTTTATTTTTCTTCTTCTTATCGGACCTCGCTGCACACATGAACAAAGACTGAGCCCTGACAGTAACGGGCATTACTGATGAAATCCAAGGTGTTGCAACGGCCGTGATGAAAGGCCTTTACGGCGTCCGTCATGCTACATTTACTCGTAATAAACTCTACACAGGACGACGAATCACCCCCTTGAAACGGTCGTTAGAAACGTTCTTCAGCAGTTTTAAGGCTTCTGTGCGGTGCTGAAAGTACAAGAAGGAGTACTAAGAAGAAAGGTGCAAACTGGATCTGAGGTAGCGAAGACAAAACGGGAAAGAAAGAAAAACAAATAATAATAATCCTGCAAACGGCAACATGATGCCGCTCAGTAGAAACCGTTAATAATGGAGGCTCCTGTGATGTTTGCAGCGTCACACAGGATGAGTTTTGACCTTTAACTCGGTGCTACATTCATGATTACTGATAGAGCCCATGCAGCGTGCCACAAGAAAAACAAGTCATCCTTGATGTCGTTCAGCAAGCTTCCTGTTAAAAGGCTGAAGTTTACCCCTAAAATCAGCAAAATATTAACCTTGTGCTCTGCAAAGGGCTGAACAAACGAACCGAACCTGCTGTTCTAATGTTGACGAATGAGCGCGGAGGTCCGGGTGGATTTCAGGTGAGCCGGGTCCGACGATGCTACGATTATTATTCATCATCGGCGGGACCTTCAGACCTGGAGGGTCGAAGCTTGTGATGTTTAGGTCATGAGAGCTGCTGTGCAGGAGTTCCAGTCCAGTCCAGGAGCTGCAGAATTACAGAAACTACATGGAGAGGGGTTTGAGACTCTCGCAGTGATTCTGCGACTATTTAGAGAGAAAGTGTCTTAAATTATTTAACCGTGTCTCAAATTCAAACCTGAAGTCTGTGAACCTCCGAGCCTCACAGCAGGAAACTGAGAACCCTCACACTGGTTTTAAGATATTTTAGAGTAGCAATAAATTGATATAATCTGCAATACCTGTACTTAATCCACTTAGGTAACTGAATATACATTAAGCAATTTGGTTAGGACACAGCCCTCTGTGAATAGCAAGTGGCCATCAGGGCACTAACGATCATTTGTTAGATTGATAGTCCTCCTTTACCACGCAGTGTCTCCCCTACCCTTATACAAGCAGAGCAGAGCGCCCCGTCCTGTCATCAGAACCGAGTGTCCTGCCTAACGACGTCAAACTTTAGGTCTCAGTCCTACTGCGTCCCTTCCTTCGGACTTTGCCTGAAAAGATCTCGCTGTCCAAGTATGTGTACCTAAAAACTCAATACACGGTGGAAGAAAGTCTTGATGACATCACTGCACGGGCTCTACAGTGGCATCTTTACATGATTCGAGTTCTCACCAACTCCAACCAACCAAACCTACAAGGACCAAGAACTGAAACGTAGAAAAATTCAAATCTGTTGCTTTTAACTTGCAATTTTTTTACAATAGGAGGTGCTGTTGTGTTCAGAAACCACAAGACCTGAATCCACTTCTGCCCTCCGCTTGTTCTGGGTGGAAACAGGATCTGAATCCATAAGAAATGCAGGTCTTCTCTGTCCGGTGCTCCGGACCACGTAGGGTCCAGGCGCCGGTCGGGGTAGATCTTTGTACGGTTCTTAAGAGACAGCTGGTTAGGACAGTGTTGCTGCTGAGACGGAGAGTTTGAGTGAAGAATCTGATTTAAATCTGCAGCAGATCTGGAGACTCTGGGATGGGGTCTGGAAGAGAAAAACATCTGTGAGAGCAGAGAAACGATGGGAAGTTTCACAACTTTGTGACGGATGAGAAAAATAACATCTGAAGGCACTCCCTGCTCAAAACTGACCAACTCAACTCATTTTTGGAAAAGACCAAAATCCACGATGGAAAACGAGTTCAGCTGAAAATTGGTTTTTAAAGCAGAACTTAAAAAGGGCTGAGCCAGCGTTGCAACACGTTTAAAGACAACAGGGAAGTTGTGCAGAAAGATGAAGAGGAAAGATGAAGTGCAGCTTCTTGTTCGCATAAACCTCGGACAGAAAAAAACAGCTGGTTCTACAGAACATCTGTGGACCACAAGAGGAAACGAGACCCACGCCTGGACACAAACATCTACCAACCAAAAGTTTTTTTTAAAAAGTTTTAGATTTTTTTAAACGATTCGATCTATTGTTGTCACCCGCCACCGAAAGGCAGAAAGTAATTAATGAAGCCAAACCGATTCAACATGGCTGCCACCGCCAACTAATAAAAATTAAACATTTAAACTCGTTTAACTCTGTTAAGATTCGGTGTGGTAGTAGCTGACCCTGATCTCCAACACATAGTCTGAGGCCCCGTTGGTACAAGAACGACCTCTGGAAACGTTGGGGATTAAATAAAAATTAAAAACACTTGTTTACACAAATCTGCAGCAGTTTCCATGCCAGGCAGGGTTGCCAGATAAAAAAAGATGAACTACAGAACTGTCACTTGAAAACGTTTGTATTTTGATCCAACCTGAGTGAGGGCGTTGTTAGAAGAGGTGTGTGTTGTGTTTGGTACACGTGCACAGAAAAGGAGGGGATTCAAAAATGTATTTATGTTTATCTGGCAACCCTGACACGAGGCTCAGCTGCATGCAGTGTCCACACGATCACAGTTCTGTCCAAACTGGTGAATACACGAACGCCCCTTTGGACCGAGGGTGTTGTTGATTTGCTCCTGCATGCTGAAAAGGGTGAGTAACACACACACACACACACACACACACAAAACCCTCTCTGCTGTCTGTCATTTATTGTAACTTGTTGATTGTAGCCACCTGGAGTGCACATGTGCGACTTTACACCTGCAGAGTATTTCACACCCCTGCAGGGGGGGGTTACACCCGAAAACCTCTGCTGAAAACGTTTTGATGCAAAGAGGCAGGTGATCTGTAGGCTTGTCACGATAAATTTTGCTGGGCGATTAATTGGCTCAGAAAATATTGCGATTAACGATAATATTGTTTGAAATTTGACAATAATTAGTAATTATTGTCAAATTTAAGAAGAAATGTTTAATTTGTTTTGTGTTTAGTATCTTTTTTTCAACCACCGGATGGGAGTTTAAGACTGTTCGAACCGAAGGATGGATAGTGAGGGAGTGAGCAGCATGTCTCTTTATGGAAAAAAGGGAGGGAGGCCCCTTGACATGACATGGGCTGTCTCTTTTCAGTTCTCAAAATGGCGGACGCTCGGTGTGGTTTGAGCTCTTTAGCATTTTTCACACAAAGCTTTTAATAAAAAAAACAGTAAACAAGTTCTCAGCTTCTTTTAGCAGAGAAAAACAACTTTTTACACGAAGGAACGAGTTTCAACTGTGAATTTTGGAGCTTCGACAAGACGGAGGTTTTTTCTCGAGGTCGGCCTGTTAGCTTAGCTCGTAGCTTAGCTGCTTTTAACGATCAAAAAAACATGATTTTGTACGGTTAAAACAGATTTAAAGAGAAACGAGAAAAGGAGGGGTCAGTGAAGAGTTGAGCCTTTTGTCATCCAGTGTCTTCAGTAGAAAGAGAGAGACGAAGAAACAAAGTCGATAAAACGAGGTCGATAATTTTCATTTATCATGCGAGTAATTGATTTATTGTTTATCGCGACGGGCCTAGTGATATGGATTCTTTCAAGGAATGCTACTTGCATTGAAACAGTTTTTTTTCTGTCAGGTTCCTGACGTCGAAGATCGTGCAGTAAGGAAGCTGGGTAATCTACGCCAGCATGTCTGGAATGTCTGCACAGGCCAGGATTTGATGGAAAAACATTTAGTTTCAGTTTTCGGTCAGTCCAAGTTGGAGAACGGCTCCGAGGAGGAGGATCGTGGGAAGTTAAAGTCTCTTTATCTGTCCTGTCAGGATGTTCGTGGAGTGAATGTGCATTTTTTATTATCACGTTTTAGTTAGTTTTAGCAGAAACAAAGTTGTTTTTTTCTTGATTGCATCTCTTGTGTATATTTTGAAATATGGGTCTGTGTTCTTGTGTAATTCACCTACGTGTTGCTGCAAGTACTGCTGTTCATAACTTGAGTAACAAATGGACGTGGAACGGGTCAGGTTCCCACTTCTCTAAATCCACTGTTGGTTTCGACTCGTTACGACTCGACTGATTTGGCTTTTTACTGCATCAGATCTCCACAGACACGTTCTGGAGCATTCCGCTGTTGTTTTAAAGACAAAAACACTAAAATAGATCATTTATTTGGACATTAAGACTGCTTGTTTAACATCTGGATTGTCAGATGAGTTAAAGCTGCTTCGGTCCAACTTGGTGAATAACAGGCGTGATCTAATGTAAGAGTTTACGCAGTTATTCCAGCAGAAAAATGGCCAACGTCCTGCGGAAAGTGCTGCAACTAGCTGCTCAAATTTCCACAGAAATCCATGTAAACGACTGACAGCAGAGTCGAAGCTTCAAGTTGCATTAGCGTGGGCTGCTGTGAGATTCAGGAGCTGCTTCAGTAACGTCACTCTGATCTCCTCGTTTTACCTCGGATGTCTTTAGTCCGATCAAGATGAAACTACTCCAAACTGGTTTTCCAGCGTCAAACCCATGAAAGCAGATGAACACAAAGGAGAAATAAACGTAAAGATTCATTAGGAAAATAAAAAGGAAAAAACGAAGGCTGTGGCAGCGACGACAACAAAAACCAGGGGACGAAGCGTGAAGGGGGCCTGGACTGGGCGTGGACGCCACAATGCCAGACTGCAGGAAAGGTGAAGGCCGGGAGACTAAATGGACTGGGCCTGATGAGGAGAATGGAGATACCTGGCTTAATGACGACAAAGGAACAGGTGAAAGTGGGCGGGGCCGAAGTGTGGAGCGAAGGCTGACTGTGGAAAAGTACTGAGAGAGGCAGGAAATCCCATGGAGGCAACGGAAAGAAACAGACCTCCAAACAGAGAAGTACTGAAACCCACAAATCAGGACGGGTACCAGTTCTTCCTCTAGATCGGTTCCATTTTCAGTGTGCTCGTATTCCTTTTTTGTTGTCGTTGTTGACGGGGCGGGGCACCCTGCTTTTATACTGGTAGGGGAAACACTGGTAACAATCCTTCCACAGAACCCGACTTAAAAATGTCTGAACAACCCCCTGCCTGTTTATCATTTTGAGATCATCAGCTGTTTCAGAGATTCGCACCAACGTCCCCGGTCGCACATCGTGTCGCATCAGACGAGTTATTCCCACAGACGTTTTACTTGCGTCTTACCTTCAGATGGGAAGAAAACGTCTCCGTGATCTGGAGACAGGGGCGTCCCCGGGTCAGACAACAGGTGGTGTCCAGTCCCAGAGGACTGCCTGGTCATGATCTGAGACACGGTGCGGGTCTTTACGGGCGGCGATCCACCGAGGAACACGGGATTATCGTGGCCCTGATCCTCGCTACGAAACACAAAAGATGAGAAACCTTGAAAACGGCTCGGTGCTCCGTTTCTAAACTCTAAAGTGTCTAAATTGAGATTTATAAACCGTTAGAGTGACACAGCGTCAGAATTCACTTTTATTTTCTGGATTTTTAGTTTTCTATATTTTATTTTTTCAATCTAACAACTTCTGCATGCTTGGTGCTGCTTTAGCTGTTCATATACCAAAATATTCGGCTCATTCAGGAGATGGCTGCTACGACTTTTGTATTTTGTAACCTTCATACTTTCTAAAACTTTTGGTTTAATTTATAAATATATTCTCCTTAGAATTATCTCGTAAATTCCCTCAAAAACAGATACAGCTGTAGTTATTTCAGCCAGCCTTTTGCTAATTATAGCTAGTCTTCTACTTTCTAATGTTTTGATACTTTTAGCTACAGTTTAACTCATTTTAGTTTTTAGCTAGCCCTTTGCTACTACTAGACCTTAGCTGTTCTTTTGTTATATTTAGCTGTCCTTTTGCTAATTTTAGCTTTTTGTTAATGTTGTAACCTTTACATACTGTAGCTGTGCTTTTATTTTGAGACGTCTTTTTCCTACGTTTAGCTGGCCTTTTAACAGTTTTAGCTGTTATTTTGATACTCTTAGTTAGCCTTCCTGTGCTTTGAGCTTTTAGCTACAGTTTTGCTACTTTTAAATTTTAGCTACCCCTTCGCTACAATTTTATTGTAGCTGTTCTTTTGCTACTTTTAGCTGCTCTTTTGATCATTTTAGCTGTTCTTTTACCACTTTTAGCTTTGAGTGTTTTGTTTCTTATAGCTTTTGTTGATCTGTTTTTGTAAGCGTTCAGCTAAATTTTTGCTTATATCAGCTTTAGTTTCAGCTTGTCCAGTATCGGCCACCAAACTGTTCCTTTTAGTGTTTCTAATCTAACAAGCTGTTTTGGTAAATGACCTGTTGGACATCTTGTCACATCAGTGAATACATTGTGTTTTTATTTTTCTGAGGTTGCTTTAATGTTTCTGTTTGAGATCAATGAAATGACCGACTGTGGGAAAACCTACCTGTCCATCTTCACGAGCTCCTGCGCACCTGGGAGACAGGAAACAGGAAATGGGCCATTGTGAGCAACAGGAGTGTGAATGTGCTTCCTAACTTTGAGTACAGTTAATACCGCTCTCTGACAGGAAGCACACCTCAGACTAACACTACGGGAAGCAGCTTGTGGAAAAAAAAAGTTATGAATTTAATACGTACGTCTGGACCTGGTGTTCTGTCTCTGTTTGTAGACGAGCACCAGAATCACCGGCAGAGAGAGCAGAGCCAAGATGCAGGCTGTTAAAGCCAAGGCCACGGGCACCGAGCCTAAAGGAAGCAACATAGAGAAAGGGAATTAAATCCCCAGAATAACCTGCCGGTTATTTACCTCTGGTTAAGACCTGGGAGCGTTTTCATACCTGCAGGTGGTGAGGGAGCCCAGATGGTACAATTCTGAGATCCATTTTTTGCTGGAAAAACATGTAAATCATATCGATCAATCTCATGTGCCAATCAGTGATTGGTTTGTTAGTGACGTTCTATGAGCTTGCGGTGCTTTATTGTGCGTTCTTACATTGCGTCACTTGAAGAACAATGTGGCTGTGGAACTTCAGAGCCGACCCGTGGTTGTGCTGCTTGTTGATGTCCAGGAGTAAGCAGCAGTAGCGCCCCTCGTCGGCGTGCGTGATGTTCAACAGAGTCACCCACATGTCGTCCTTCGAGTATCCAAACTTCAGCCCTAACTGCTGGATGTGGTTGTTGTGGTGAAGGAAGTGCGATATGTTGCGCGGCATCATCCCTGCTTTGCAGTGTTGGTCACTGTGAGGTGTGAAAAGCCAGTGGTGTTTCAGATGAGTGCCGCCAGTAACGTTCAGGGCACACGCCAGTCTGGCCGTCGCACCCTTTGGGCAGGAGTAGTACAGGTGGGGGGCAGAGACACCCATGGTGGAGTTCAGGTAGGACAACTCCGCTTTAGCTAGAGAAAGAAAACAGACAGGAAAAAAATATAATTAACATGATTCATTGTCAGGGAGGGAGGATTAATGGATGGATGGATGGATGGATGGATGGATGGATGGATGGATGGATGGATGGATGGATGGATGGATGGATGGATGGAAGGATGGATGAGTGGGTGGACAGATGGTTAACAGATGAATGGATGAACAAATGAATGGATGGTTGAATGAACACAGATGGTTGAGGTGGATGGATGGATGGGTGGTTGTGTGGACAAACGGATGCATGGATGGGCTGATGAGTGGATGGAT